TATAAGAACATTTTGAGGTCGGGAATCCTTTCTTTTTTTTTTGGCAAGAATAGCCCTTGTGTAAGCCCTCTATCCCGGTCGGGAATCCTCACAAACAAAATGGGGTGGACATCGAGCACTGCCTCCTGGCTGCCCCATGGTCGCCTAGATCTGGAGCTGATGGGATGCTGCCTGGACGGTGCTAATAGGCAACCAGTTCCCATGGGATATGACGCTCCTGCTCCTCGGGCTACACTCTGACAGTCCGCCAACATGACAGCCTGGAGGGCACGGTGCTCCTGTGAACGTGGCCAGAACATCTTTGGCTTTCCTCAAGCCAAGGAACACATAACAGATAAGGCTCTAGCAGATGTAAAAAAAAAATGAAAGGGAACACATAACAGAATACCTCCATGCCAGAATCATAGCGGCATGGTATCAACTAAGGAAACTGCACCGATCAATCGTCGAGGACCCCAACCTTACCAACACGGCTAAGCAATAAAAAATGGGGGAAGCAACTACTCTCTTCAAGGATGAATGGCTGGGTCCTAGAAAGGTCATGGCTGAAATTCAAGACTCCCAGATCCACTGGAAAAATTGGAGGGGGGACGAGCGCAACTGGAAATCTAAATCCCTCTCTCTCTTTCCGGTACCTCATTCGGCCTCCCCCCGTTCCTCTGCTCTGCTCCCCTGATGACTTCCCCTTTTTTTCTACATCTATCTACATACTACTAAGGGCTGGACCCCACTGGAAAAACCTTGGAAAAGTGCGTCATTTTGGAAATCGTGGAAAGGGCATTTGGAAGATTCCGCGGATGAAAAACGGGACCCCACCAAAGAGGCTGGAAAAGGCCTGGAAAAGCGATTTCTTCCAGACTTTTCCAAGCTCGTGCCGTCATTGTGGACCAGCGAAGTCCGTTTGGGTGGTATGGGCGCCCGCGATGTCCGACTCGGGAGGTGTGGGTGGCGGCGTGTGGCACCTGTGCGAACGGTGTGACCATGCGTACCTGGAGTGTACCGTTGGTCCTTGTGTGGGAGGTGCCTGGACACCAACGGTTTGTGCCGATGGTCGACGTCGGCCGTTGGGGCCCTGTCGTGGTGGGTGGGGGGCGGGGGGGGTTTGGGGGGGGTTGCCTTCGAGGTAGGAATTCGAAACGTATTTTTTCATGTGTATCCAAACACTGCCTACCGTCTCCCCTGTCAGACCACATCTACAAACGGATTTCGCCCGGGCATTGCTGCTCTTCGTGAAAGAGATGTACTGGTAGAATTTCTCCATCGCCAGCGAAAGAAGCAATCTCCCTTTCCCCGTTCATTGGCATCGAAGCAAGCAGATCAGACATACAAGGCACTGACGTGCAGGGGAGAAGGTGTTGACAGTGACGTGTGATGGATTCCCGGACGCCGTATTCCACCTCAGACGATGGGGATGGGGCACTCTTGTCGTTGGTGTTCATCCTCATGCAGTGGTTGAACAGGAGGAATGCCGCAGCCATGGCCGTGATTCAGGCTGCTTCAACTGTCTGCACATGCGAACCGCCGATGTGCAGCGCGCTGTTGCTTCTCGCTGGTGCTGTGTTGCACAGCATGTCGCTGGCGGCAGCTGTTATTGGGGATTTGGGCAGGCAAGTGGATGGGCGGCGGAGGCTGTGGGTGGTGGAGCGGAGCGGAGGGGTGTGGAAGGATCTGCAGAGGGTCGGAGCGCAGCATGATAAGGTCTTCAGACGTTTTTGCAGACTGCCTCTCCCACTTCTCAACGAGATACTGCTCCGCATTGCCCCCCATATACAATGCCAGACGACGAACTGGAGGCAGCCTATGCCGGCGGGGCAGAAGTTGGCTTGCGCTCTAATCCGGCGGGCAACCGGCGGCTTCTACAGGCAGACCGTGCATGGCCTGGGCTTGGGTCTCTGCTGTGCCCTTCAGAGTAACGAAGAGGTGGCTGATGCACTCATCAAGGAGTACGGCCATCTCGTCTCCTTCCCCACGGGAAGAAGGCTGCAGGAAGTACTGGACGATTCGAGCGGAAGGGGTTCCCTGGCTGTGTGGGTGCTATTGACGGCACCCATACATTGAGAAGCCAAGGGGTAGAGGGCCGAATGCTACTACGACCGCACTGGACAATTCTCTGTCCAAGCCCAGGTCGTGTGCGACCACGAATGCCGCATCTCCAGCGTTTACGTCGGATGTCCCGGGTCGCTACAGGACTCTCGTGTGCTTCGACTGTCTCCCCTGTACGCTATGGCGCGCGAAGGTAGGGGTGTATTCGGTACAAGATCCGTCGTGTTGAGAGACGGGAGGACTGTTGCCCGCTACTTGCTTGGCGATGCGGGGTATCCGGTGCTCCCATGGATAATAATCCCTGGTTCGCGAGGCACGAGGACGGAGCAGCAGCGGATGTATGACGACTGCCATACATCTGCTAGGTCTTGTATCGAGCGCACGTTCGGGAGGCTGAAGGCGGTGTGGAGGCACTTCATACGGCAACAAATCTGCAACATGAAGACCTTGTGCAAGGAGTTCATGGCGATTTGCATTCTCCACAATATCATGGTCGACCAACGAGTCGTCATCGACCCTGAGGACTTGTCGGACGACAGCGACGACGACCTGTCGGACGCGGAGAGCAGGCCACGTCGGCGCCGCCATGTGGCCGTCAGTGATGAAGTTCCCCAGGCACCCGATCAGGAAAACGATCCGACGTACGGGAGCGATTTGGGGAAGGATATCAGAAACAGCTTGGTGACGCACGTGTGTCACCATGCTCGTGTGCATGGTGCTCCGCAGCCGAGTCCGTGGG